CCTACCTGATAGCTTCAAGAAGGGCGAAACCGGTCGTGGGTATCAAGTAGCTTATGTTCTCTGGGAGTTATGTTAAAAACTATTCCAAGTCACAAGGAGTTGGATTGTATTGATCGTCGATATGAAAATAACAGCCTCAGAGGTCAACAGAACTTTCGGCACAAGTTTAACTTACAAAGATAGATAAGCGGATACCTATAGATTAATCCTGTATTTTCGATGCATAAGTGATTTGTGCGTTGCGTTCTTTAGCTCGTTCGTCTTCTAACTGAGCGATGTTCACCTACTGCGTTTGTCCTCGAGAGCAATCGCAATTTATACGCATATGAGGGGTTCCCGGATAATAGGTGGTCAAGTGGTGAGCCGGTTAAGGCATTAAAGAACTATTGCGTTCCAGCCACGCCCAGAGCTCGAGGTGGCTCAGTGGTCAAGGCGCAAACGGAGGATTCGAAACCAACCAAGACATCTCGACTGGTCCTGTCCAGGTTCGGAGAGCCTGGCAGTATCTCAGCCATCGTGCTCATGTCGGGTGGCGTAGCAGGTGGGCACCGAGAGAGTCTTACAGCTGAAGTACTCACACGACTAACTTCGAGAACCGTCGTGTCAAGGATTTACCAAGTTGCCTGGCCATTTCAGATAAGTATGCAAATAACCTTACGTGAGCAACTTGACAGCTCACAGACTGATCGCAACCGCTTTTAACCATTGTGTTCTGCGTATTCAGTCACCGCATTTAAGACAAATGTGAAGCAAAGCGGGAACGACGAAAGAATAGTCACGGAGATTCCCCGTAATTAGGGTCGAAACGCAGAGTAAAATGAAGGGAACTCTAAACAGGATTAATACTGCATCCGAGAGAACTTGTCGTGGCTGTTGACTGTCCTGGATGCCAGGAGTTTCGGACGGCAAACGGGGATGGTTATATGAGGCAGGACAAGTTCATGCCCTTTACTTCGAGTTTTTCTATTTTGTTCGCTTTAGGTTTCAGCAGTTTCGGGGCTTACGGAATAGTCCTCGAGAGTCATTGCGGGTTCTGGCTTGGTTTTTGAAATTTGATTCAATACTTTTTGTAATGCACTACTCATAAGGTTGCTGAAAACTCTTCGACAGCCCACGACCGGTTTCACCCTTCTTGGGGCTCATCAGGTAGGCGCAGTCCACGAGTTTCCGTCAAACTTATGTTCTACTTGATTCAGTACTCTTGTTTTTCAGCGAACCCATTGAGTAGGCAACTTTGAAAGTATCCTTGAAGATACACTCTCTCGGACTCGAAGAGGTGATACTTCTCCAAATGGGTGCCGAGACTACGGTTGAAATGTTTAGTGTCACCAGTCTACAGTTTAGTGCATTTTCTGTGTGAGGAACTTTCCGACCAAATCTTAGCAGACGGCTACGTTTGTGGGTACTTCACACAGTCGAAAGTATCCCCTTCTCCAGTACAATAGAAATCTGAAAGATTGATTCATCATCATTATCATCTTCAGCTGTAAATGGCACAAATGTTATACGTTTGTTATGACTGCCACTTTTTCGTGGGCCGATCTGGGTAGATCAAGGAGACCAGTTACGTATTGGAGGCAGTAGCTGATCTGATTGACGCGTAAACCCAGTTCAGACGGTGGACTTTTTATTTGGGAAATCTGGAGAGGACGTTGAAGGATACAAGTAGCTCGGGTGCACTGCTTGTTGGCTGGTCTACTTGTCGAGCTTGGCAGTTGGGTCGCAAACGATTCGTTACCAGGGAAACTATGCGTTGATGCATGAGCGCCACCGAGCGCGCAACTTTTAATATTTCTAAGCATTGGTGTATCCCGTTTCAGGTCCCCCAGGTGGACAGCAATGATTAACGCATCTGAGTTTTCTGACAGTTGCTTTCACACCGGTGCGGAGCCGGTGCTTGACTCCCATGGCTCGTTTTCCCTATCCAGTTTGTTGTATCAATAAGGCTATCCCGAGTACATAACCGAGCCATGCAACTCACGGAGTGCGATCGGTTTTCGTGGGTAAGTTATTTCTTGCAAAAAGCACTCGACCTACTGTCCGATGTTCGGACAGTACTCTGAAGATAGCGATGCTTAAGCACAATCTTTCAACGTCTCAGCGCATGGCGGTCAAATCTCTGACGCGTGTAACAATGGGGGGCGCACCGCGGTATTACAAACTACACCGTTTACAGATAGGTTGATGTCACACTTGAACCACAGATGGTAGAGTTTGACAGAAGCTGCTCTCGACTTCCCGATCTTCTTCATCTGGACCGCAGCGACTGATGATGAATTCGTCTGCTATCTCCAACGGATGGGTTTGAGCACATCCAGCCTTGCAGCGGCACTCCACGCCTTATGGATGTGAAGCGCACACCCAAAAACGTCAGACAGAACTGTTATCTGCATCAGACCGGAAAATCACTGTCATTTGTGTGAGAAGTCGTCTTGAGGTCATTTCGACCGTCACGAAGAGACTGGACCTTACCGTGGTGTGACGGTTTGCGCACCTCAGCAACCCACTGAGCTATACTGGAGAGTGTCCCGCGACAGTCACAGAGTCTCTCACACCAGGTTGGTCAATGTTTAGAGGTCTGACGAACACAGTCTCCTGGCCCTCCAGGTTGGGGGTTGGAACATGTGGCGACTTGTTCCGTAGAAATGGTAATGCATTTGCATTTCCCGCCAAACACCGCTGCCTTGCGGTTAGGCTTTTGAGCCAAAGGCTTTGGTTGAGGACCCTAATCGTCCTCCTGTCTAGGTGTGGGCGCCCTGGCAGTATCCCAGCCCTCGTACAACCATGACCTACACAACTAACAATATTCTCATGCCACATCGGCCGTCGCGTGGTGCCATCAGCCGGGTCGCCTTACTTGCTGCATACAGCAGGGCGGGTAAGCGAAAACAGGCTACTGCTGACGCCTCCCTTCTTTCTCCTTCACATACTTTTTCTTCCCCCTCTCCCCACCCCATTAATAACTCTCTCCTTGTAGGCCCAGCACTTAGGACTGATGACTCCGTTCGTCATGCATCGGTTTTGCGTGCAGCGTCTGCTCGTCACATGGTGCCGACATCTTCAGGAATCTCCAGATCAGTCCTCAAGCCTCGACACCCACTCTATCTGGCCGCGTTCAATGTTCGCACTCTGAAGCAAGCAGGACAACAAGCTGCTCTTGCACTCACACTGGACTCGCTTGGCATTGATGTGTGCTGTGTCTCAGAAACGAGAATTCAAGATGCAAGCACAGTGATTGAGTTAACCGCCCCGTCAGTCTCCACTCGCTTCCGGCTACGCACCTCTGGTGATCCAGAGGCTGCTGCGGTGGGATGTGCAGGGGTTGGTATTGTGCTAAGTCACCGGGCGGAAGTATCCTTACTTGACTGGATACCTGTTGATAGTCGCCTCTGTGCGGTTCGTCTGGCAACGTCTGTGAAGGAGTCTCACAAGCGGCAAGTTGATAGATGTCTGTTTATCGTGTCTGCCTATGCCCCAACTGATTGTAGCTCTGACACCGTGAACGACAGGTTTTACGACGCCCTGAATGCTCTGCTGCGGCGAGCTAAAAGGCCAGACATTGTGATGGTTGCCAGAGATATGAATGCGCAAGTGGGCAGGCTCAGTGCATCTGAGACTCAATTGGGAGGTCGGCATGGACTGGAATCGGTACGTACGAACAATGGGGAACGATTGCTTCAGCTGTGTGCTGATCGCAGGTTGTTTCATGCAGTACGAACTTCCGAAATAGCCAAAGTCGTCTGGCCACTTGGTGTCCTCCAACAACAAGCCGGCCACAAACTCAAATCGACCACATTGTTATCAGTTACCGATGGCGCGGATCCATAACTGGCTGCCGGTCGTGTTGGAACACATTTCTGGACTCTGACCACGCGTTCGTCCGGAGTCGCTTCGCCCTACGTTTCCCGGGGCCGCGTAAGGTACGGACAAATCGTATGACAACTGAAAGACTGGCAGATCCGGATGTCAGACGAACGTCTGACGAACGTCTCTTCTAAGTGGTCCACCATCAGATGTGAACTCATACTGGGACGAGATTGCCACCTCTTTGCATAGTGCTGGAGAATCGGTGATAGTGCCCATTTTCAAAATAGTGACGCGTAGTGAGTGTGGTAACCACAGGTGGATCAGCTTGACCCCGTTTGTAACGAGACTGTTGGCGTCAATTGTGCTTCGTCGCCTTACAGTGGCTCGTGAGATGCTGACCCGA